ATACTCTGGTGTTTCAGGTCTGGCTTTGTATCTGTCAGTCAAAGATGTCATCCACACATTTGGACATTCTGATGTTTTGTTCTCCAGGCGTGACATGGGCAGACTCATTTTCACTGGGTTGTCATCTGTCGGTATGAATATTACACCGCGTGAGCACTTCTTCATATGAATGCCACATGCACGTGTCACACACTCCTGAGCACTGACCTCTCTCTTTTTTGAGTATTCCTGCATGATTTCCCTCATCTCATCACATTCGTTGACATTGTCTCTGCTGGAGTTCTCAATGACTGTTTTGAGGTACTCAGAAAGTCCTGATTCCTTTTTGGTGATGTAGCTAGTGATATAAATGATGCATGAATATGCATTGAGAATATAACTGACATCAATATTTGCATCCCAGGCTTCAAGGATATGTGGATTATATCCATTTACCCAGCAGTCTTTTGGGTCACGTTTCAGTATTATGGCACTGGATTTGTTTATTGTGTTGAGGCATTGCTGGTACTCACTGAGGGTTACATTGCATTTAGCCAAGAGCTGCAGCAAACTGAGAGAAGCAGTTTCAGGTTCCTTCAACAACAAGTTCAGTGGTTTGAGCTTTTCCTTTGCTAGAGCCACTTGCTGTGGATCAACATTCTCTCCAGGTCTCGTTATCATTGTGGTTGGGACAGGTGGTTTAGGGAATCCAAATCTGCATCCAGAGCTGAGGCTTTTGAAACATGTATTTGAGTGGTTTTTGCTATGCATTTGCACTTCTGTAACTTTCTTGTACAGTTCAGGTTGTGTATGTGGATCAGGCCGCTTAGCTGAGATGTACTTGGACACAAAATTCACAACAGTTTCATCATCATCGTCATCAAACACAGGTGCACCTTCTACCCCTAGGAGACAGTGGATGTGTGGGCTTCCTCTGTGCTGAAACTCAACTCTGGAAAAGTAGTCAACAACTTTTCCAAGGGGTTGTGCAGGAGATAAGATCAAATCTCTGAATAACGCCTCAACACGCTTATCAAACATGCGCATTGTTGTCACAGGATTGCTTCGCAGTATATCACAATTTGCTGACCAGTCAAGTCCTTCAAAATCGACATCTTCACCTTGCTGCCTTTTTATTGCTTCAATCACTTCAGGCCAACGCATTTCAGCTGCAGAAAATGTACAGAAGAATGTAGGAGTTCCCAACTGTCTGATCATGGCAAAAATATCTTTTGTGGTTTTCTCCCAATAGGCTGGTGTTCCTCTCAGTGGCTGCATGAATCTCACTGCATCTTTATTTCGTATCAGTTTCTCAACCTCTCGTTTATCTTGCAACATACCAGAAGTGATTGGTCGTCCATCTCTCGTAAAAGGCTTGCCTTTCCTTAACTGTACTGTCATGCTGGAAGTAGCCAGGTGTATTTCTGTGACAAACTGTGCAAAGAATAAGCAATTTGTGTCTCTTGCAAAACGATCATCAACACAGAACAGGCGTGCTTTGAAATAACTGCTGGGTGTTAGTTTAATACATCTCATTTCATCCAGTGTGTTCTGACCTATAGGAAACTGTACAGGGAAAGCCATGGCCTCTAGTTTAGGTGTTTTGAAAAAACTAACTGGACTGTTTCTTTCTGCTGGGGCAACAGAATAGATTCCTTCATTAAAACACAATATCTCCTCTGAAACATCACATGGCTGAAGGCATGACTCCAAAGCAAATCCACCATTAGGCATGTCACCTTCCTGTTCTTCATCATCTCTCTGCTCGTCTGCTTTCTCACCATCACAGGGCAACATGTCAATATCCTGCTCATTTTCTGCCCCACAAAGTGCACTTTTCTCACACATGTCAATTTCCATCAAATCAACTTCATCATAATCAACCTCATCCATTGATGCATGCTCATCATCATCATCATCATCATCATCTTCATCATCATCATCAGGAAGTGTTGGGTCACATAATTCAGCGTCATCTCTGATGGTTATGTCCTTGTACTGTGGGTGAATGTGTTTAAGTTTATGCAGTGCCTGCACTAGTTTAGACCAGGTCACAGTCTGGAACAGTTGATGGCCTTTGTAACATAACCTTCTCTTAAGCTTTACTCTCATGACTTGAGACTGGCTTCTCAGTCTTGGTAACACTTCAACTGTTTCCTGTACCTCAGATGGGACACACACCACATTACCACGTATTAGTCTCTGTCGTCCTTTGGGAAGAGGAATGATTTTGGCAAACGTTATGCACTTGGCTATAAGATGCCTCTCTAATATGTTGAGATCACACAGTTCAGGTGGAATATCAGCAAGCTCCAAATGATTGGCTTCAGCGAGGGATGGCATTACTCCTTTTTTAAGATGATCATGGCAGGTGGAACAAATCCACTCTCTCCTTCTCTCATCAGGCACCTTGCATTGTTGTTCATTTCTGCAGACATCATTACAAACATAAACATACTTTCCTGTCAGGCATGCTGCAACCACAACTGGATTTGTGAGGTAATTTGACCTATTACAGGGTTTCACTTGGTTTGGAAAAGATGCTTTATGACACAGTGCACACATAAGTGGGACCAGCCTTTTTATGTCATCTGAAAACAGATATGGCCTCCTCAATCAAACTGTTGTCACTTTCTTGAGTTTGTTTATTTATCATTCTGTATTTCTTTGTTATTTTCATGGCACATCGCATCTTATGCATAATCTTATATGCAAGATTGTTTTTATATCGGTCTTTCATTAGTTTTTTCATTAGTTGTCTGTGTCTTACCCTGAATGGTTCGTCATGTTCATAACGCTGAAAAGTATGAGATATCTTCCTCTCCCTATAATCATCATTGTCTCTGTAGCAATTAGTAGAGTTATCTTTCTTTTTCTGCCTTGAATCAGCATTGTCTCTGTAGCAGTCGTTAAAGCGCTGTTTTTTTTTCTGTCTCAAATCATCATTGTCTTTGTTATAGGAGGTTACATACTGCTTTTGTTTCTCTCTAAAATCAGGATTGTCTTTGTAACGGGAGGTGAAATACTGCTTTTGCTTCTCTCTAAAATCAGGATTGTCTCTATAATGGTTGGTAATGTATTTTTTTCTTTTCTGCTGAAAGTCAAAATGATCTCTGTACCGCTTGGCAAAGTAATGGCATTGCTTCAGTTTTTTTTTAGCATTGCTTTCAGTATTGTTATTGTTAGGTTTTTCTGAGACCATGAGTCTTCTATTGATTTTTTTCCTTTGCTGTTTACTAAGCTTTGACAATTTACAAGAGATATTCTGCAATACAGTATCAGACAGATTACTGGCAACAGAATTTAATGGAGAAGAGATGTATGATAAACTGTGAGAGGCATCATGGGATGGAAGGAAACTGAATTCACTTAAAGGTTCTGGTTCAGTTTGAGCATTAGGGATTAGGTTAGGTAATACCTCCTGTTGTCTCGCAGATGATGTGAAAGTGATTTCGGTAGACACTTCTTTAAATATGTTGTCAGAAGGATCACTGAGACCATGGTTTTTCACTTGATCAGTCAACTTTGATTCAACCTGTGGAGCATCATGTGATGGAGATGTGATATGGACCTCTTGTTGTTTCACAGCAGGGGTTTGAGTTGACTTGTCTGGTAGAATGTGCTCAGAACTATCAGTGGGTGTGTTTCTCCTTAGAGTAGATGAGCTTGACTCATCAGCAGCTTCATCCAGCAGAGCAGGTGCATCAACAGTGACAGCTGTAGGTCTGCAGTCTGTGTCCAGGACAGCATCATTCAGGGAGACTGGGTTTCTGTCGTAAAACTCCACAGGCTTTAACTCATAGGTACAGTTTAACTGTGTGCCCACCATTCTGTGAAACTTCATGAGCCTGTCAATCATGTCACTGAGACGTGTAAATGTCAGCACAACAGCAGTGAGTGAATCTGGGGAAAGGGGCAAACCTTTACTAGTCCTGGAGTGTGGGTCAAAGAAACCATACCGGCCTGTTCTGGTTCTAAATACTGCAATACACAACTGTGTCATCAGCAACAAAGCAAACTGCACCTCAGTTAACAAGCAGCTCAGTCCTGACTCAAGGTCCAAAAAGCTATCTACAGTTGGATGTAAAGGTTCTCCTAACGTGCCATACCTGGAAGGTTGTGTCATGTCCACATAATGGGTACACCTGCGTGCAGTAACTTCATGTGGGAGCTCATCAGTGGTCAAATGGATATGATTAACAGTTTTTCTCACCTCATTATACATCATGTTACCTTTATCCAAAACAAGTTCAATGTCAGCTCTGGTGATGTTTTCATTCTCATGGAAGAATGCAAGAAATGTTAGTGAGTTACAGGTACACTGCTTATTTCTGGATTTTCCATATTTAGGGGAAGCCTGGCTCCACGATGCAGGGACATGTTGCTCAGAAAGTTGATCTCCCAGGTTTACACTGTCTCCATGAGAAGGCCATGCCTCACAAGCAGCTTTACTGACACGTCCACTCTTCAAAATATCTGCATAGGTTGGCTTTGGTACACATGGCTGATCACCTTGACCTCTCTGGTTTACCTGGATAGCATGAGAAGGGCCTGCCTCACAAAGATCATCACTTCGACGTCTCTTCTTTAGCATGTCAGCATAAGATGGCTGTGGTACACATGGCTCATCACCTTGACCTCTCTGGTTTACCGGTTTAGCATGAGAAGGGCCTGCCTCACAAAGATCATCACTGTCACGTCTCCTCTTTACCATGTCAGCATAATAAGTCTGTGGTTCACAGGATGCATGGTGTTGACCTCCCTGTTGTACACTTATAGCATGAGACACTGGACACACCTTCACTTCTCCACTGCTCAGAGGACCAGAACATTCTGCTGCTTTACTTGTTGCACAGGGAACATCTGTAGATCTTTTCCAGCGCAGGCTTTGAACTTGGGACTTTTTGTTCTTCCTCGGCATTGTTGTTGTTCTCCAATACCACAAATGTTATTGTTTAATTCCTTAAAGCACCTTAATATTTGCAGGTTTAAAAATATATTTAAATATAAGAATCAAACAATTCAGTTGGTTGTTTTATTGCAGTATATGACAAGTTAGACAATAACAAAGCTCTTTATTTTCTGATCAAAACAGTGTGTGAACTGTATACCTGGGGTGTGTTTACGTTTATCAGAGAAAATGAATACAATATCGTATTATGTTAACTAGTTAAGTAAATAAATACAGCAAAAATCAAATATGACTTAAAACAGCCTTTAGGAATTAGATACGTTTACGGTAACAAAATTCAGTAACAACAGTTCTTATAAAATAAATATGGATTGAAATTATAAACGTATAACCTTTGTATATATATATTTGTAACTATCCACTTAGTACAACAATTTATGTGTTTTGACAATGATACAATTAAATGTTGAGTTCAAGCACTTTTCACTTGACTGAGACAGAGAGAGAGAGCGTAAGAGCAGAGAGACTCTTAGATTTGCTTTTTCAACAGATAGATCAAGTACTGGTAACTTGAAAGCCAAAATGTCAAGAGTTGTTTCAAAAATCAGTGCCAAGCGTTTTTTTGCGTTTTTTCAAAAGTCAGCCATAAAATCGGTTTGCGGTTCTTATAGAGTGGGATAGATCAAGCACTTTTCACTTGTAGAGTGGGATAGCAAGACAGAAATACCAAAAATAGATAGAGCGTACCACCAAGTACTTGTAACCTGGTGGCAGAGATCAAGTACTGGTAGCTTGAGGGACACAAAAGATAGAATAGCCACAAATTAGACAGAGCAAGGTAGATTGGATAGGATAGACAGAGTGGCCATATAATCAGATTGAGTGGAAACAAGTGATAGGAAAGAGAGAATGCGGTTTTGATAGAGAGAAAGAATCCAGAGAGTTCCTCAACAGCAGGGCACCTGTAACACACAGAAAGTTTTGATTTAAGAAAACAGATTCAACCCCAAGCTCAAAGGTCATTGAAGGCATCTGATCACATTAACCTAATCTAAAAACATTATGACATTATGCACTGACCACATTTATATGTGGAAAAAGAAATGCCAGGAAATGTAACAGTTAGGCAGGGCTGGTTTAGAAGGCTCTATTTAACTACAATGACACTTTACTGTGTTTTAGAAACGGCTGCATTTAATACATTTCCATTCATAAATCTCAACTTACTATCAAGGTCACCACAACGTTCTCAACAGTGGCGGCCGGTCCATAGGGGCGCTAGGGGCGCCGCCCCACCTCTTCCCATATTAAAAAATAAAAATAAAAATAAAAATAAAAAATATATTTTAAAAAACATATATATTTTTATTTTTATTTTTAATGAACAAGGTAAATATTATATAATTGGTATCAGTAAAATGTATAATCTACAATAAAATATCGTTTAAAATTGTGTTACGATGTCTAAAGTTACTGATAAGTCACATGTTTCCTGCCTGGCCTTGCCCGTGTACCTTCTCTCGTCTGGGCGGAGCCCTCAACCAGTGCAGCAGCAGCCACTAGCAGCTGACTGTTGCTATCTGTAACGTGTAAACTATGCCGCGAAAACATAATTTCAGCCAATCAGCGTCGTCAAATATGATGGTCACAGGGCTCCTACGTGAGCGCCCGGTGCAGTCTGTGAGTTGTTTGGACTCGTATCCAAGGAGACAAAACAGGAAGCTGTCATACACTCTGGAAGCTACCATTTAGCAGCTAATGAAAACTCAGTTTTTGACATAAAAATGGAATTATGGATCATCAATCATTTTTCAAAGTGACAGACACATTGGATTAATTTATGGATTAACCTTCAGCTGCGTTTTTCTCGTTTTTGATCAGAATTGTTATTCTGCAAAAGGTGAGCATATCTCCATGTTTTGCTACCTAAAGCTACGTCGTGTGATGTCTGTATTTGCTTCCGCTGTCGCGAGTTCTGATCGCTCAGTGATGATACTTATATTTCTAGAATATGTGGAATCTCAGTTTGTAAGCTTGTTTGTGCATATCCGATAAGTATATCGATTGATTTATACCTAGAGTGCGTTAGCATTTTTTCGCTCAGGGCTCATTTAGACGCTTCTTGTGAGACTTGTGTTTTGTTTCGGTAAACATGGTTCATATCATCAGTTAGATGCGTTTCCTCTGATAAGGGAATGCTCTGGTTTTTGGACAAAATTAACATGGGATCACTCCCGTCACCGGACGTACTTCGTCTCACTGGAATAGTAACGGTCATAGTGAATATAAAATCGTCCCCATGTATCCGGCCAATGACGGGAGAGTTTTGAAAGAGACAAAACACTGTTCCATACATTTAAAAACACTTAAACAATTAAACAATGTTTACCTGCCAACAAGCAGCAGTGTGCTGTCATTTCAAACATGTTACCCCACTGTTTAACACACTTTTACCTGTGTTTTGAAGACTCTTTCCTGGGTCAATGTGTGCTCCAATGTGTCCTCTTTCTCCCCCCCTGGGTGTGTGTGAGACAAGTCAAGTGAGTCAGCCTGCCAACAAGCAGCAGTGTGCTGTCATTTCAAACATGTTACCCCACTGTTTAACACACTTTTACCTGTGTTTTGAAGACTCTTTCCTGGGTCAATGTGTCCTCTTTCTCCCCCCCTGGGTGTGTGTGAGACAAGTCAAGTGAGTCAGGCTGCCAACAAGCAGCAGTGTGCTGTCATTTCAAACATGTTACCCCACTGTTTAACACAGCTTTTACCTGTGTTTTGAAGACTCTTTCCTGGGTCAATGTGTCCTCTTTCTCCCCCCCTGGGTGTGTGTGAGACAAGTGAAGTGAGTCAGCCTGCCAACAAGCAGCAGTGTGCTGTCATTTCAAACATGTTACCCCACTGTTTAACACAGTTTTACCTGTGTTTTGAAGACTCTTTCCTGGGTCATTCTGTGCTCCAATGTGTCCTCTTTCTCCCCCCCTGGGTGTGTGTGAGACAAGTCAAGTGAGTCAGCCTGCCAACAAGCAGCAGTGTGCTGTCATTTCAAACATGTTACCCCACTGTTTAACACAGTTTTACCTGTGTTTTGAAGACTCTTTCCTGGGTCAATGTGTCCTCTTTCTCCCCCCCTGGGTGTGTGTGAGACAAGTCAAGTGAGTCAGCTGCCAACAAGCAGCAGTGTGCTGTCATTTCAAACATGTTACCCCACTGTTTAACACACGTTTTACCTGTGTTTTGAAGACTCTTTCCTGGGTCAATGTGTCCTCTTTCTCCCCCCCTGGGTGTGTGTGAGACAAGTCAAGTGAGTCAGCCTGCCAACAAGCAGCAGTGTGCTGTCATTTCAAACATGTTACCCCACTGTTTAACACACTTTTACCTGTGTTTTGAAGACTCTTTCCTGGGTCATTCTGTGCTCCAATGTGTCCTCTTTCTCCCCCCCTGGGTGTGTGTGAGACAAGTCAAGTGAGTCAGCCTGCCAACAAGCAGCAGTGTGCTGTCATTTCAAACATGTTACCCCACTGTTTAACACACTTTTTACCTGTGTTTTGAAGACTCTTTCCTGGGTCATTGTGTGCTCCAATGTGTCCTCTTTCTCCCCCCCTGGGTGTGTGTGAGACAAGTCAAGTGAGTCAGCCTGCCAACAAGCAGCAGTGTGCTGTCATTTCAAACATGTTACCCCACTGTTTAACACACTTTTACCTGTGTTTTGAAGACTCTTTCCTGGGTCATTGTGTGCTCACCAGGGGCACGAGAATACCCTCCACAGAAGGGGTCGTGGTTCCGTGAAGAAGGCCGAATTTGGGTGCTCATAGGCAGCCTGCTGCAGAGTCATTTTCAGGCTCCTCTCCACAATTGTCCCCCTAAAATGATTTTAAAATCATTATTTTTGCATTTAAATGCATTTATTCTATCATTTATATGGTTCCCCAACACAATGCACATAGTCTGGAGCTCACTGGGGTCCTGCATATAATTTAATCAGGCGTTTTAACACTTTTTCCCATGAAAATGATTTTTAATCACTATCATGGGGCTATGAAAATAAAATTCCGGGTAATGCAGAGCACAAGTGCACCTTTTACTATTTAAATGTATTTGTATTATATATATTTGGGCTAGAAAGGTGACCTCTCTGGGTGATTTAGTCAGTTTATGGAGCTTAGCCCACAAATCCTGGATGATCCAGGCCGAATTTGGGTGCTCATAGGCGGCCTGCCAGGCGCCCCCACCCGTGGAAAGCAAAAAGAATTGAAGAAAACGCTTAATTATAACTTAAAATAATCAAAAATGAAGTTTTGAAAAATTGTCAAAAAAATGACAGAGTGCCAACGGGAGAAGGGGCCAGACTATTGGCGCTTCGGGCCGATTTTTCCCCTTCTCCGATGGTTGGTACAACGGAGAAGGGGAAAAAGTCCCTGGGCTTCATTTCCACTTCTCTGTCAAAAAGATTCATCCATACTTTTCAAACTACCGTCTGCACGAATTCGGAAACCCAGTTTTTGGGTGCACTCAGAAAAAATAACGGCTGTTGCAAATCATGGAAGAATGTATCCGCTCACCAAGCACTTTGAGTGGGCCTAATTTTGTGGCGCAAGGACCCCCCAGCCTGGTTCTCTCAATACTTAAAGTTTGACATGGAGGAATGCGAGGGCACTTTGCAGGTGACTCTACCCGATTATGAGACACTATTTTGGGGCGTATTTTTTACATTTCTCTGGTTCTCCAAATAGTTTAAGTTCGACATTTTGAGCCATGGAGGAATGCGAGGGCACTTTGCAGGTGACTCTACCCGATTTTGAGGCACTATTTTGGGGCGTATTTTTTACATTTCTCTGGTTCTCCAAATAGTTTAAGTTCGACATTTTGAGCCATGGAGGAATGCGAGGGCACTTTGCAGGTGACTCTACCCGATTTTGAGGCACTATTTTGGGGTATAATTTTTACATTTTGACCCCTTTGCCCGGTTATCACCAAAGTTGAGTTGGATGATTTCGACCATGGAAGAATGTCAGGGGAGTCCGCGGGGGACTCCTGCGGGGTCATGAGGCACTATTTTGGGGTACAATTTTTACATTTTGACCCCTTTTCCCGGTTCTCACCAAAGTTGAGTTGGATGATTTCGACCATGGAGGAATGTCAGGGGAGTCCGCGGGGGACTCCTGCGGGGTCATGAGGCACTATTTTCGGACACTTTTTTCCCATTTTCCCCCCTTTTGCCTGGTTCTTTTTATTTTTATTTTTTTTCCTGTTTTGGCCCGTTTGACCCGGTTCCTTCTGCCGGGGGCACTGCCCGGTCCCGGGTGCCCCCCCAGGGCTCGCGTACAGCCGTTTCACCCCCCCACATTGACGGATTTTGACCCCTTTGCCCGGTTCTCACCAAAGTTGAGTGTGATGATTGCTGAGTCATGATGCACTATTTTGGGGTACATTTCCCCCATTATCAACACGGACTAGAGATGGCTCGGAGATGGCTCGGAGCCCACACCCTGGTTCTATGTAACCCTGGAGGAATGTCACATGAGTCGACAGGGGACTGCTGCTGGCTAATGAAGGACTATTTTGGGGTACATTTCCCCCATTATCAACACGGACTAGAGATGTCTCGGAGATGGCTTGGAGCCCACACCCTGGTTCTATGTAACCCTGGAGGAATGTCACATGAGTCGACAGGGGACTGCTGCTGGCTAATGAAGGACTATTTTGGGGTACATTTCCCCCATTATCAACACGGACTAGAGATGTCTCGGAGATGGCTCGGAGCCCACACCCTGGTTCTATGTAACCCTGGAGGAATGTCACATGAGTCGACAGGGGACTGCTGCTGGCTAATGAAGGACTATTTTGGGGTACATTTCCCCCATTATCAACACGGACTAGAGATGTCTCGGAGATGGCTCGGAGCCCACACCCTGGTTCTATGTAACCCTGGAGGAATGTCACATGAGTCGACAGGGGACTGCTGCTGGCTAATGAAGGACTATTTTGGGGTACATTTCCCCCATTATCAACACGGACTAGAGATGTCTCGGAGATGGCTCGGAGCCCACACCCTGGTTCTATGTAACCCTGGAGGAATGTCACATGAGTCGACAGGGGACTGCTGCTGGCTAATGAAGGACTATTTTGGGGTACATTTCCCCCATTATCAACACAGACTAGAGATGTCTCGGAGATGGCTCGGAGCCCACACCCTGGTTCTATGTAACCCTGTAGGAATGTCACATGAGTCGACAGGGGACTGCTGCTGGCTAATGAAGCACTATTTCCGGGTACTTTTTT